TACCTCCTTCACCCGACATTAAGCCGTGCGATTTTTAGTATTCTGGTCAGTTTAAGGCACTGTCCGATGGGATACGCTGCAACGTTCTGTCATTTATCGAGAATGGCATCAGCAGCAATTTGCTCGCACTTGTTGAAAAAACGAAGTACCAGAGGTCCAAACGCTTTCGGGGCACTGGGAGCGGGTCATTGGATGAAGGAGGGATCTAATTAATTCGAAGCCAAAATAATATAATTGCATCTGCTATCCTTTTTGTATTGCATGAATGAAACCTTGAAGATTTTTTAAATGGGTGACCTAATGATTCACTTTGAAGATTCAATCCGCGTCGGGACATCAAACATTCCCTCAGCATTACCAAAATTGAGAGCCGTGAACTTTGGCAGCGCATCGTGCTTCGAAGTAAAAAAAAGAAACCTCTCTGCCTCTGACTTCAGCTTTTCTCACAAGAAACTCGCCGCTCTTGGTGAGTACTTTCTCAGATTCTGCTCGAGCCATGTAGCCATGATAGAATGGCTCATCTTCCAGAGCTGCATCACTTGAACCGTGCCATTCAGTTATCTAAGCACAAATATTATTTACTGAATACCTAAACTTTCGAAAAATAAGAAATGGCACAAATCTATGAGATTCCTCTTCACTTGGAGAAGAGGTTGAGCTGGAGGATCCGAGAACTATGATTTCGGATACGATGATGGAAAATGAGATTTTCCGGTGCACTTTTTCTGCTTTTTTTGTGTTTACCCATTACCATGTGGTCTATCATAGCCACTCAGTGATTGCTCAACCGTGCTTCGCTTTTAATAGACCCTGGTAAATTCTTTTCAAAGCCGGCTTTAAATTTTCAGTGGGGTGGAGTTATCAGAAATCGCCACTTTCGACAATGCGTACACGACAAGCCTAGACATCGGGATTAGCCGACGCTTATGAAAAAGTTGCAAAGGTGGACAAACAAAATCAGAAAATTCCGCTAAGAGAATGGCTCTGCGGATCTGGAAAGCAGATGTGGAATCAGCAGCAGAAGAAACATCTGTTGATGCATTCCGAAGACCTTCCTATGGTTAGCGGTTAGGACCATAACCAATTTCACCAGGGTAGACTAAAACGTCAGCTTTGATTTGCAGTTTCTGACAACGATCGTTTCCTCCTATTCCTCTCTTTGTCACACATGCGTAGCAATCTGCGGACCACCACGCAAACTCACCTACAAACCGACACACAGCCTTAATGGTTCATACAATAGAATGGTCGATGAACATATTGCTGCGAACTGCGACATGGAACATAGAGCTCCCTGCGTGAAGTGGTTCATTTCCGATGACTAATTCCACCTCGAAGCGTAGCCAACCAAGGTCGCCTACTTTTTCTCTATTAATGTGTGGAATCAGCAGACTTTCCCGAAAAAAGTCGGCAAATGAAGAACACAACCTTCTTCAACTCTTTAGGTTGAGAACGTCGAACTGAGCCTTGCTTCCGGGCTGCAGCCTGAAATCACTCCCCAGTGCAGTGAAAAGGCAACATAATGGCAGAAATCTGGCCAACATACCTTGAAAACGGTACATTCCGCCGCTGAAGACATTGTTTTCTCCTCTGTTAACGTCGAACCTAATAGAGTAGTGAACTGAAATTTCAAATACCATTATATCAACCTTGTTCAACGTTCGGCATTGAAGATGCGACCACAACTAATCTTGCCCAAGCACCTCATCAAGATCTTACTGAAGATGCATGAATTCGAAATTGCAAGCCCCCCTTGTGCCTCGTGATTGGACTACGGTTAACAGTAGAAAGTAGCATTCGATCAAAACTAACCTTCTCATCGTCTTCATCAACTACTATGTCATACTCGCCGCTAGTCGTTTTTGATCTTGCAGTGCCGGTGCTCTTAAACAACGAAATTGCTGAAATAGTATTCCAGGGCAATTCTGGCGACTAGGAAAGTATGGATATCGATCTCACAAAGAGCGTCTTCCGGCGTCCGTCAGCGTCACGAGGGGCTATGGAAATGTGGGCTCGATCTAGCGAGCGCTAGCGTCTGCCAGCTGCGCCAGCGCCCACCAGCGTCTACGAGCGTCAGATACAAGGGAAGTATAGCTATCGATCTAGCGAATGTTAGCGCACACCACCAGCGCTGGTAGACGCTGATGGTCGCTGGACGGTGCTGGGCTCTGGCGCAACGTATGAACTCATGCTGAGGTAGCAGCTGGTCCACGCGCAGTGCCGTGTCTTGGATGTACTTAAGTGCTGCGAATCACCCCAAGCTCTCAGCTATCACTGATTAATGGAAGGATTGTCAATCATGTTTTCGCGTGCCAAAAACTTCTGATAGACACACCAAAAGGATCTTGGGAGATCGTTCATCAAACTGCTAAATAATCAAGTACACGAACCGCTTTAGTCCTTGGCGATGGCATAGGCTTTTAGCTTTTGTAGATTTGTCAGAAATATCTAGAACTATAAAGATTCAATAGTCGATCATGAAATGATACCTACCCTTCTATATATAATTCACTCCATTCCCTGAGATGCAGTTAGCGTGGTCACATACGTTGCGGTGGTTGCGCTTCTAAGACCTCTTCATTCTGAGAATATTATAGTGCGTGTGTCGATGTATATATGTCCATGTTCGTGCCAGCATGAATGTACTTTCTGTCACGAGGCATAGCCTCCGCCAGAGACAGCGAGATTTCGATTCGTAGAAGTGGTGTGTGGTGGATGATTGCGGCGACATGAGCAGCAAAATTTACTCCATCACTATTATCTTTCATCAGCAACCTCAATGTGGGATATTTAGAATGTACTGCCACGTGCTGCTATACATGCATAGGCAAGATAGGCTTATCAGAGGGATGTATTAAGCGGAAGGACTTCCAGCGTCAGTGACATAAGCAGCATTAGGACGTTTTGATGGTTGGTTGACGATTTTCTTAAAATTGACGGAAATTACCAGAGAAATGACGGACCAAGGGAAGGGTTTTGACAGCACCCGTCGGAACGATAATCAATTTACTGAAGGCTACGGTCTGGTGTTGCGGTTGTTGGTACAGCATGCAGCATGTGTCGAGTGACACCTCACTTATAGTGCGCATCCCTGCATCAGCGTAAAGTGCATATCAACAGGTGAAACATTAAAGACAGTTCCCGCGATTAAGCGTCATAGTCATAGTTTCAGATAGTGCTTTTTTATTATAAACCAGTAGTGGTTCTTCAAAAAAGGAGAAAAGCAAAAAGAATCTCCAAGGACACCATAGACAAAAAACGTTTCCTGACAGTCACAACGCCCTACGGTCTCCGTGCAACCCCTTGCTTTTTCGCATTTCTCAATACATCTAATGCAGAGAAAAGAAAAAGAAAATTAAAAAACCTGAACTGAAATTCGTAACAGAAAGAAACTTTAGAAACTCCGAGTACCTATTCAAGGTTAGGTAGCGTGCACTTTTTTGGCGCACTTCGAGAATTGTGCACCAAAAATTGCATCACTGGCGATTTGAACGAGTCTTGCCTTGCGAAATGGTTTTTGTTGACACTATGTACTCCTAATAAAGAAAATGTAATGAAGAAAAGCAGATTTACTCGTGAGCTCAAGAGCGGTTTGCGAAAATGGACATGCAGTTCCGATTTCTGCCCGCCGCCTGTACAAACATGAACTGGGCGCCTGCGTTAGGTGTGGAGAGGACGCTCGTTGAGATGGGGGTTGTAGCACGCCCCCCCCTCGCTGTGGAGTCGCGAAAGCGGAATAGTCTGTCAGCTTGGGCAGGGTACAGCATGGGGATGTGCGAAATGGCGGTGTGAGTACGACCCCCCCCTCGAAGAGGGTCCAGATACGACCCCCCCTCCTGCTCTAACTGAAACCAGATGCATGTTCACCACAAATGGCTGAAATGGAATCTGGATTTTCGAAAGGCGGACTCTGCTCTAAAATCCAGGCAATAAGAGGCTGTTTCAGCCTCATGCAATATGAGCTGAACAACAGCCTCGCATTACCTACAGTGTCTCTGTCTTTAGGATTCAAGATGAACTGCACTACAGTTATGATTGACAATCACTTGTAGAAGGAACACAATCGCAACAGCTACTAATGGTGAGCATTAATGAGCTAAACTGGTGAAAAAATTAGCCCCAAGGTCAGCGTGACAGGCCTCAGATGTGCATTCAATGAATGGTGACGGGGAAATCGTAAAAACATAAACGAGACAACGAAGCGAAACATGAAATTAAAACAAATGCGGAGCAACACGAGAAGAAGGATAATCCGTGTGGAGTAAAATTGTCCCATACTTGGAAAAAATGCGGAACTCACAAAACGAGAAGAAGGATAACCAAGGGGCAGTAATCGTTCTTACTTGCGCAATATCGAAGCGCAAGGCCGAGCCGACTTTTCGGTGGAAAAACATCATTTGGAGGCGGATAACTCCGAACAAGTTCGCGCTCCTGGAGCTCTTTTCAGCGAGCTTTATATCTCTTTAGGTGGAAAACAAGAGCTTTTTGGAGGAATGGTGAGCAGCACTGCACAACGGCTAAAGTTTCTATTGTTGTGTATTATCTACATGGCTGGTCAATGGAACAATCTCCCGTTGGTGAAATATTCCGGATGGGTTTTGGATAGGCTAGGGGTAAATGGCAAGCGGGTTTTTATGCTTCACACGAGGATTACTTATTTCGAACGCAATTTCATCAGGATTGAAATCGTCTTGAAACGCCCTATCTTTTCTCTTTCCAATAAGCTTTACAGTTTTCCTGAAGACCCGCTAGTTCAGGAGATATTTTAGATGGGTCACAGACGCGCTACCCTCTGACCCACCCGAAAAATCGACTCCTTCTGTGCCATTGTGAGGATACACCTTCGAAAACTCCAGAACATTCCCTTCAAATGAGTGAAAGAGGATCGTGCATTACACTCCTACGCAGAGGTGATGGAAAGGTATAAATTCTAATTTGAGGTGCTTTTATCCATGCAAGCAGATGTTTGTTTAGGGTTTGGAAAGGACAATACGCACGAATCTGTTTGAGACGTATTATTTAGTCATCTACGTACTTACGAGTTCATGCTATTAACTGATATTTATTTATTTATTTATTTATTTATTCTTGATATTCTTGCTATATTGCTAATAAATTTTTTATTATTTTGTAGTCCTACCATGTGCCCCGTGGCCAAGTACGAACCTATTAAGTAGTTTTAGGAATTTTGCATGAAAAGAGGGCTCTCAAACGTAGCAGTCCGAAGAATACACTCACAACAATTTTCATTTTTTTTAACATCTGACTTCCATAGCTCCACTCCCACTATCAACTGAAATGTCGAAGCATTGCCCGGCTCTGAGTGACCCTTGAGATTACCCCCCCTCCCCAGCGGCCAAGTACGACCCCCTATGGGTTTCGCACAACGATGCTGTACCCTGAGCTTGGGGCAGGACTGCTTTCACAAGGAAGGATGACCACGAATTTTCAAAGGGGCCGTTCTTGAAGGAGTGACTGAAAGCGATAGCCAGTAGATTGGGGATGATAAGGTGCGTCGCAGCCGTCGTCTTTCATCAAGGCGGCTTAGCTGTCATACTACTAAATCACTCTGGTTTTGTGATAGGGATTATGGTGACGGGTTACAGGTAACCATACTGGTCTGTACGAATGGATAAGGGACTATCTTCACTGCATTCCTTCTTACCATACTGCTGCCTCTGTATTTCAAGTATTACAGATTATACAAGGATAAAGTCTTCGCCGTTGATCAATCCCTTTGTGGGATGCGGCACGCATTCTACTTCCATTCAGAATCGTAGTGGCTTATTGAATGCGATGTGGCCTATACAATGACTTGAGTCAGTGTTCTTATCCTCTCAGGGGAATCTGGTACCAATTTAGTCTGGTAACTCAATCCTTTATCTATTGCTTTTAATACCATTTGCAAAAGAACTCATCCCATGTATTGCTACATACAACCCGTCCAGTATTTCTGTGTCGCGGTCGCGACTATAGTCTCGGGCGCACAGAGCGCCTAAGTCAGGTCCCATCCTTCGGCCGGACACGCACAGAAGCTGCCGACAATCAGGATGTGCCACATGGGGTCCCCCTCACATCCACTACTATAAATGCTGCGCGGAAAGTGCCTCAGCTAAGTGCGAGCTCTTTTTGGGCTCACTCCGGGCTCTCCTCGGTCATTCCTCCCGGTAGGAGGGGGAAGATGCCAGGCACCTGTGGAGTGCCATCCAGCGCTGCTAGGGCGGTCAAGGATTGCGCTAGCTGCCTTTGATAGTCGCAGGAACGCTGCTTACCTCATTACCCATCGAGGCGTGGATCGATGATGTCATTCCGCTGTGGCAGATATAAGCAGTGGGATAGATTGGAAGACGTTTTTCTCCGCAGTGAACGTAAGTATTTCTTACTTTAAGCTGCGTTGTAAAGAGCAAATAAGGGAGAGCTCCATAGTCGGGGCTCGGGGCCGGACCAAGGCGCTTGCTTTTGGTGTTACGCTATGGGTTCGTGTGTGTACAGACGGCCCCGACTGGCTGGCGAGGCCAGACCAGGGTAGACACAGCTGCGTGCTATTGCTCCTAATGCGTATCCTCTATACTCCCCGAGGTTAGGAACCTGCAGATCCTTCGGGAAGCGGAGGGGAAACCAGTACGGTCTCCTAGGATACACTTAGGATGTCGTGAGTCCTAGAGAAGTACTCGCGAGAGCTCTGAACCACCTCGAGGTGCGCCGCGTTAGAGGAGCTTCAAGAGTGACTGCCTCCCGAATCAAGGAAGGCAGTCTGTGTGTATGTGCCTTTGTATGTATGCGTCACTATAGATAGTCAAGAACGCAGCAGCAGTCCGACGTTGCTCGCAAATAACGATGTAGGCACCGGGACGGATACACTACTTAGTTGACAGGAAGTGATAAGCTGATTA